ATTTACTGCCCAGCTGCACTGAGTCTCTGGATGATACTTTCTATCATCACCTACTGCTGCTTTTAGTATCATCCATTTTCTTGCTACCTTCGCTGAGAGCAGCGTTGTTCATGCTTTGTGTTTTTTTTCCTTATTTTGAGTTATTGCCCCTAACTACTTTATATTTTTCACATCACCAATGTCCAAAAATCCTTTTTGGAATTCTCCAGCCTCTCTTGATCCTATAAAAATATTAAGTTTAATCTTAATTTTGTATGAACCTCCTCTTTTCCCAAAAAAGCTCTGTTCTGTCACAGCTTCTCTCCTCTTTTCTGCTTTCAGTGTAATCAATTTTACTCTGATGTGTCTAGTATCCCATACAGCCTTTCTTCAGGTGGTGGTCCACATACACGTTCACATTCTGTGTGACCTGCTTGCATGCTCTCCATTTCTTTAACTAATCTAGGTGGGCAGGCATACACATTTTCATCCTGAATTGTTAATATACCTGACTGCAAAGAGATCTTTCATTTTTATTTCTTATTAACACATCTACCTTTCTTTTATGCTGTCACTCAGATGTTCTGATCAACTTGGTTCTCCCAAAGATGTGCTAAAATTTGGGAAACACAGGCTAGTTGTCTTCTATTTGTCTCTGCCCAATGATAACCACTGTGGATGGCTTTGATTTCTGTGCTTTGTGCCAAGCACATATGCAAGCACCTGCTCCATAACTGGAGTGCTGAATGACCTCCAGGGTTACATCCATCCATGGGTTGGATCTTCAGATTGTTTGCTGCCAGAACTTGCAAATCTTTGCAGTGTCAGTTCTGGGGCTTTTTTTTCCAAGAATGTAAAACTCAAGAACAAGTCTGGGGACCTGAGAACACTGAAGCATGACTGGGTCACTTAAGGGTAGAAAAGCTGTTATCTGCTTTAATCTGTCTTCTGCTAGCAACTCTGCCAGTGTCACTGATCTCTTCCTCATCTCCCAGTTATTTGCATAACCTCCCTGGCCTATGTAGGCCCCTAGCATATCTTACTATGGGATCAGAAGACTTGATTTAAGTTGCTGGAACCAAGTAGAAGAGATCTTCTGGATCAAGTGCTAAAGTAGTTTAAGCAGGGCACTGGGACGTAGTTCAATCCTACCCTGACATCGTTGATACCTCTTCTGCAACTGAGCCCCAGTTCAGTGTTGGATACCATTCAAATATGCTAATATACCTTTCTTAGGAATACTTCAGAAGGCAATAGGGATTGTTCTTAGGGTCTTTCAGTGAAGAACAGTTCATGACATATTTCATGGCTCAGGTGCTGGATAGTTCTCAGAAGAATTAATTTCTCCCTACTGAGAAAGATCTTTATCTGCAGTAGATAAGGCTCTATGGAGATACTTGCTTAGCTAGGTAGACATATTAATTTTCAGATAAGTGATATTTCAGATGTCTGGGCCTTCCATCACTTTTGTTCTGAGGTATTTTACTGGGCTTAAGGAGTTTAATTTAATCAGTAATTCTGTTTAGGTTTTGGTACCTTAATATGTATTTTTTTTTACCATCTCCTGGTGTTTCTTTATTCTCAGGTTTATGACTAATTTGGTCGGGTTTTCTTCCCTTTCCTTCAGGAATTTATTACTGTACTTGGATCTAGATTGCTGTGCATGCCTCTTAAAAGTGGCTAGCCTAAATGTTATAAAAGCAGTATTCATGACTGCTATTACTTCTACTGGGAAGATCTGTGAAATTCAGGCAACCCAACTTTATAGTAGCTTATTTCTTAAGACCCATCCTGAAGTTCTCCCAAGACTTGTCTCTTCAGTTTCACCAATGTTCTTTCCAAAACAACTGAGTTCCAAGCGTACAAAAGAATATATAATCCAGATTTCAGGAGGGTCATATATTTGCAGAACTAGACCTCTTAGATGGTCCCTGATATTTTGTGTGTTGAAGAAAAGGATGCATGGTCACAATCATTTCTGTGCAGTGGTTGTCCGAGTGGATTTCAGGCTGTCAGATAGCAAGTTGCTCAGGCAGATTCATCTTCGGTTGTCAGATCACATAGGATTAAGTTATATCAATAACCTTACTTAGAAACAAGTGTATAGCTAAGATTTGTAGCGTGACTTACCTGGATATCTCTTTAGTTTCACGGAGCACTATTCATTGGACATGTAAGCCATCACTAGAAGGAGGAGAAGGTTACTTACCAGCAACTGGAAATCTTTGAGGTCTAGTTTACATGCCCATTAGTTTATCATCTGCCTCATAGTTTCAGTATCTCTTCTTAGATTTTGAGATAAGAAAAATTAGGGTGTAGGAGGAGGGTGTTGGTCTGTGTGCATCCAGATAGGAAGGGGGCCTAGGTATCTTAAGGATATTCTTTCAGAGAAAAATAATCTCCAGCTTTGCATGATTTTGTCTCACAAATGCCTGGAGTGTGACTGGGTATATGGGGTTGCCTAGCCTGAGAAACTCCAGTTACTGGCAAGTACAACTTTCTTCATCTTCTGAGCACTTCTTTAAATAGGTTTCTTCTTTGAATTGTTAATTTTTTCCAAACCTGAACTACTAAGACTGCTCTTGATGTTGTCCTATCACTTTACTAGGAATTTGCTGTGGCAGAAAATTTGGATTATGCTATGAAGAACACATCTGTGTGTGTGTGTATATATATGTATACCAGTTTTTTAAACTGGAAATAATAATTCCCAGTAAAAATGAATAAACATTTTTATTCTCTTTTCCCCCCCAGGATATGGTATCTCAGAAAAACACAGTAAGTATTAAATCCACATTCATTTTAAAACACAAAATGAGGATACTACATTTAAAGCAAGTCTAGTAACAAAGCTGCCAAGTATATATGTTTATATGATTGAAGGAAGTCTGTTTTACCTATATACAAATCAAACTAGTGGAAATCTTGTTGACTTCCTTTCCAAAGTAAAGCTTAATTAAAAAATTACTTTTCTTTAGAAGTTCCTTTTTAAGTTCTATAAAAGTGCCAGTAGATATATGTTCTATATGTAGGTTGATAGATCAAAATGTAAACTCAAATTCAAAGTCTCTTTCTCCCTCTACTGCTTTCACCTGTTTGTGCAAATGTATATATGTGTGTGATGCCTTAATAGGGCTTACTCTTGTATCTCAAACAGCTTTGGCTACAGTATAGCCATCCTCTTCCTCACAAATTCACAGATTTTACTTTGGAATGCAAAAGCTTATTTCCCAAAGTAAAAGTATTCTTACCTTTAATGCAAGTAAAACCAAACAAGTAAGACTGAACCAAGATAAAATTTAGTGGTTATTTTAGGTTTGTTGTAATATGCTGCGATATCTTAGTTATGTATTTTGTCATACTTCACATCATATCAGTGGTTATTTTCATTAAACACTCCACTGTTATTTTGAGGACTGTTGAATTTGCAAAAATCTTAAACTTCACAGAATCACAGATTGGTAGGGGTTGGAAGGGACCTCTGGAGATCATCTAGTCCAACCCCCCTGCTAAAGCAGGATCACCTAGAGCAGGTTGCACAGGATCACATCCAGGTGGGTTTTGAGTATGTCCAGAGAAGGAGACTCCACAACCTCTCTGGGCAGTCTGTTCCAGTGCTCGGTCACCCTCACAGTAAAGTTGTTTTTCCTCATATTGAGATGGCACTTCCTGGGTTCCAGTTTGTGCCTGTTGCCCCTTGTCCTGTCGCTGGGCACCATTGAGAAGAGTCTGGCAATAATAAACTTCCATTTATTCCTTTCTGTTTCCCCCCATTTACCATATACTCTTATTTTCTTCTGAAAAATATTGAGCAGGACTAAAATAATAAAATGTTCTTAGACTTTGCTAATAATTTTAAAGAGAACTAGTAGAAAATAATGCATTAGTCACAGCAGTTTATTTTGAGCTGCTGTTTATACTTGGCCACAGCACTGCATGTAGGCTAAAGATAGATCAAGTTGAGCACATGAATAAATCCAGGTCATTTTCCCATCTGTCTTGGTGATCTTTAAACTAGTTTCAACGGTGGGGTGTGAACTGCATTTACTAGTCTGTAGCTTTGTGAAGGGAGGCCTCAGAATGAGGCAGATTTGCTTGTGAATGCTACTATCCATCAACTGGTGGATGTTCAAAATGTCTCAAGCATGTGTTTTCCCCTCCAGAGCAAAAGGGAGATTTGTGACTGAGCCGTTTGGTGGTAATTCTAGAAATGGAGTAAGGGCAAAGAAAACAGTGGCAAGTTCAGCCTAGTGTGATCAGATTAGCAACCTGCAATCTTTTCTTTTGGCAGATTCTTTCTCCCACAGAGGGAGATATTTACCTTCCACATGGAAGAGAAGAAAAGATGGATCTGGTGATATGGTTTCTACAGCAGGGCCTGGTATTAGACCTGTAAACATCATGTGGATAGCAAAAAGGGCAGGGGGAGGCATCCTGAAACTAGGATCCTGATCCTTCCTTTAAAAAAGAGGGATTGCCTAAGCCACTTTCTTCAAGTGCTTAAATTAAGAAAACAATTGTGAGTAAAATGCAGTGAGGAAAAAATAAATGACTGTAAATACCAAGTATGGTTTCTTGACCCTCGTGTGTTATTTGAAGCTGTTCATACTCTCTTTTATTAGATAAATGTGCTCCCATATTGCATTCTTTTATCCATTTTTTAAAATCAGAAATTACAACAAACTAATTAGCAAGCTGAATAGTTAATAGGTTAAAACTTTGTTTTTCTAAGTTGGAGTTGACTTCAAATAAGCAGTTGCTTTCCCCTCCTTTCAAATCCAGTGAGCTGTCATGAGAGGCTTCCAGTTTGTCACTGCCCTGGTATGGTGCCACTGCTTCATTGCTTGGTTAAATATTTTACAACTGTATGTGATATCCATAAAGAAGAATTTTCCACTTTACAAGGACAGAAACGTGTTTGGGTTAGTGCTTAGACACTGTTTAATTTAGGGTTAAATGCATTACTTGCTTTGCTGACGACTATATCTTTGAAGAAGAGCTGAAAAACTGATAAAGAGGAAACATCTTGCCCCAGAAGGCCCAGAAGAGCTGGGCGATTGCCAGAGAGGCCTGAAGTCAACAAGAATCACCAGTAATCAGGGGAAGGGGGAGGGGGGGTGGAGTTTAGTTGGTTCGCCACCACCTACCCAATTAAAGGACTATGCAAGTTACACCCCGGCCCCCCAAGGAGCATGCCTGCTAATTTAAAGATGCTTGACCAATAGTAGATGATGCAGTAATTAATAACCAATTAGCGTAAATTTAGGCAGGTTTTTCTAATCCTGTAACAAGATAAATATGTGGTAGATTCTGTGTGTGGTGTGCTAGCTTTGTGGAATTACCACCTAGCACCCATCTCTGTGCAGACATGAAATAAATAAAATACCTCTGCTCTGTGTGTATATTGGTGTACTGCACACTGGGTAAATGATCCCACTTTTGTGACAACATATGGGCAATGTCTTGTTTGAAGTTAATTGCTAATGAAGGTTACTGTGCTAGTTAGGTAGGTAGAGAATTGGTCTGAATTTACTGTGGCCAATCAAGTACGCAGTTACATAACCATTTCAGTTTAAATGCTGAGTATTAGATACAATAGTTAATACCCCTGTACTGGGGTTTTGTGTTTTCCTTTCACTTTTCCTGATTGAAAAGTGTGGGCGTGCCTCTGCCATAGCTGTGGAACAGCAGAAAAAGCTTAAATGCACTCTTCATTGGGGTCTGAACACATGTTGGATAGAGGACAGATACTTGATCTGCTAAGCCTTCCTCCAACCTGGAGGTAGCTGCAGGAATACCATTGCTAGTTTTATGAAGAGACGTCCTCTCCATATCTTATAAGCTCTGTGTCCACGCATCTGCACTGTGTGTAAGGGAAGGGGGACAACTGAGGTTGCTACCAGGCACAGCACACCATTTTTCCAGCAGCACGAGTGAAACTTTCTGTGCTGGCTGCTATAGCTCAGAGCTTTCTCTTGCCCTCATCTTTGCTGTTTATCCTGCAAATGTACAAAGGTGCAAAAAAAATTGTAGCATAGAACAGATGTGGAGACATGTTAAAGATGCAGAGAAGATGAATGTCTAGTGTGTCATCTGGGGTAATTTTCTTTTATGCATTACACAAAAGCCTTGTAAGAAAAGTAAGCCTTGAAGAAAATGGATGTTTTCCTTGTAAAGAGAACATTATTCTAAATCAGCATCAAGGAGGAAGCAAGAGCGAGGAAACTGGATATAAAGCTGAAAACAATGCATAGAAAAAAGGTCAGCAATTCATTTGAGATTTGGCCTGAGGACAGCTGATCTAACAGTGAAAATTATACAGCAGCATGCTGCAGTGGTGTGAGTCTGAAAGATTTAATAGCTTACTATTGAAAAAAAGAGTGTAAGAGTAGGATAACTTCCTTCCTTCCTTCCTCCTACCATCCAGGAATGAAGTTTTCAGGGATAAGATGGGAAATGTGATTCAGTTCTACTTGACTCCCCCAAACAAGCAATTAAAATTCTATATTAATAATTTATTGCCTACTTGGATACAAAAGGAAAGAATTATTGGCTATGGGAGTTCAGTTCCCAAGAAAGAATTGCCCTGGCATGAAATTCAAGGTCAAGATTCTGTGTCCTATCAATTAGGTTTCTTCTGTAGAGCTCCTCTGAGCTTTGAAGACTATTTTACTGAGGGTGTATGTGCAGCTTCCTAGTTTCTGTCTAAATTACCACCAATAAAATAAATTGCAAACAGGCAGTCTTGCAGAACAGTTTGTTTCCTGTGTCATTATGGAAACAACAAGGTTTGAGAGCACAGTGAATGCCACTGGACTGTAGGGTACAGGAAAATAAATGTATCTATGGAAAATGGGCTTGAGCTTTGGAGTTCCTTTAGACATCAGGTAGACATTGGTTTACTGGAGAAATGAAATTTCAAGGATTTTTTAAAAAAAAGCTTAAAAAACCAATATTCCCCCAAGCCAATGTAATAGACAAATTCCATGGGAAGTTGTTCTATTTTGATGGACGTTTTGTTGCTATCTTTGATTATTTTTTTTTTTTCAATAAGGATATTTCCTCTCCCTCTACAGAATTTTAAGGAATGGTGCATAAAAAAGTCTAAGATTGAGTGAAGAAAAGAGTGCATGAGGGGCTTTTCAAAAACTGCTGGAGTCAGGAAGCAAAATGTACAGTCCTTCTGGCAATAATTTGACATACATGCTTTGATCCATTCAGTTTGTTTGAATGTGGCATTGAAAATACAAACTAGAACTTCCCACTCTGGAAAAGTTATTATGGCAAGTGCAGAATATAAGGAGAAAGACTTAATAGTTAATTTTTCTATAGTTGATGGTATGCCTGAAGAAATTTGAATAACCCTGTTAATTGCTTTTGGGGAAGGTATTTAAAGGGACGTAAGCTGACTATTAAACCAAAAGGTTTATTATAGTATACTTAGGCCTGTGGGCCTGATGAAGTATTTTCAGAGATTTAAATTGGGGGTTTTTTTCATTAAATCCTGTAGCAGCTCTTATAGTAGGCAGAGAAAAATGTCTGGGCCATGGAGGAGTCATTAGCAAAAATTCTTCCTGATCTAAAGGGAGCAGGATTGCAATTTACCCTTGCCACAAGGAATTTTTATGTTGAAAAAAATCACTTTTTATTGTAATTGGCAGAAAGTCTCTTCAGAGTTTCAGTAGCTGTATAAATTAGAGTGTATCTACTGTTTCAAGGCAATAAACATTTAAGAAAACTAAATAGAAAGATTTTTGCACTTGGACTTATATTCTTCAATTTAGTAGCCCAAATGTATTGAAACAAGAGCCAAGACTCTAAAGTATGATTACATTATATAAATTTAATAATCTGAAGAAGTAGTATTGCAGAGTAGCTTTCCACTTTTTATTTTCTGATTATTTTTACAATGCATAAAAGTTTCTGTGGTATGGTTATTTAATGATATATTTCTAAAAAAGCCTGAGGTAGCAGAAGTATTAAAAGAGTTTGCAAAAGGACACAGAATGAAAGAGGAATAGGAAGGTCTTAAATACAGACTATTGTTTTTCTTTTTCAGGGGAGAATAGTACAAAGGCAATGGGTAACCCAGTAAACATTACCTTTAATGTTTCTAAACATGAAATATACCACTGTTACTATCGATATAAGGAAAACTAAGGCTTTTAAAATCTATTTATGAAAGTTAGTTTTTATGGAAATGTTACTGTCTCAAGGAATGCGCATTTGTAGTGGTTGGATTATAGTTAACTAATCAGATAATGACTCTGATAGGTTCATAAAAGTAAGACTTGAAAGCATATTAATGATGACACAAGGAGATGTATAGACAAAAAAATTCACGTAGATAGAGAAATCTTACATTCTGAGTGGCAAAGTATTGCACTGTTTTCTTGGCCTTGTAAGTATGGACTTGCTATAAATATCTACATTAATTTTTGTTGTTGCTTTCTTTAATAATTTCTCTATTCATGTGTCATGTCTGTCTTTTTGATTCTTATGCTGTTTTGTGGTGGTGTTTTCCTCTTTGTTGTTTTATTTCAATTTGGAGTAGGTTGCCAACCACAAAGCTTTTCTTCGGGTTCAAGTACCTCCTGAATACCACAGTGGTAATCTGATAGGCAAAGTATGTATCACTTTAAATCTGCTTTTTGTTGAATAGATATGCCATCTTATGACTGTGTTTCTAGGCATTTAGAAATATATAAAGATACTTTAAGAACAGCGCTTGGCAGGGTCTTTCCTTCAAAGTGATTGTAATCTTAGAGTACTCATTCCTTGCAAGCTAGATCCCGAGCATTTAGAATGTTTGGCTTGTGATAATCTCTCGTCACAGTCTTTACATAAAAATACTGCATATATTCAACTTTAGAAGAGGAAATATTTTTTTAAAGTTTATAGTATCTTAGTCACCTGTATCGCAAGATGGATAGGAATGTGATGTCACAGAAAACTACTGTGAAAATCTTGATTCTTAAGACAACAGCAGACTGAACTCCCTGAACACTCAGAAGTTTGTGACTTCTTTGAATGAATGCAGTTTATTTTCTGTTATCTTACGTGTTTTCCTTCTAATTGCTTTGTGAGGTAGAGTAAGCACCCCTAATACCCTTGATACAAGCAAGTGGCAAAATGAACTGCATGGCTCAAGTAAAATAATTATGCTATTAGTTGTGCAGGCAAAATTCCCACCTTAAAAATACAGAGATTTTACTCAACATTATTTATCTGAAAAAGACCCAAAACAAAACAACAACCTTTAATTCTAGTGTAGCTGCTCTGTCACAAAGTGACAGTTGTACCAGCATAACTGTAGCAGTACAATTAAAAAAACTGTTTACATTATTAAGGTCAAAAGTTTACTTTTAACAGCATTAGCAAAATATTTAGAGGAGTACTTTAAGACCAAAAGCACTCCACATTTGGTCTGTCTTGCCTAGAGCCTAAAAAATGGCCTACATGGGCCTAACTCTTTCAGCCCTTCAGCAAAAGCATGGCTCTGTGCTTAACTCCTTTAACCATTTTCCCCTGAAGACCAGGTCCCTCTCTCAACTTATTTGCATTTACTTCCCGGGTTTCTTTATGTTCCTAAACTTTTGGCTCTTTTTGTGGTAGATTTTAAAGCATTGTGATTGAATACAAAAGTTTCATTGCTAGCATACTGGGCATACATTATTTGCTGGAAGGTGAGCTATTGAGAGCTTTTTTTTTTTTTCAGTCTGCTTGGTTTTTTGTTATTTTTAACTTAAAAATTTTTCTAAATAAGACAATGATATAGCTTAACTACTAATCTTAAAATAAACCAATTCACTATACAGTCTTTATAAGATATGAAGTTATAATTCTATTACAATTAAATAAGTCATAATTTATATATATTTGCAGCTAGAATTGCTATATATGTTATTTCATACATATCTGTGCCATTTATTCATTATCCTAAAAAGCAATAGTTGGTGTATGACAGGACAGTAATTTTCACAATTATTAACTTTTGGTGTCAGAGACCAGCATGCTGATTTAGGTGACTAGAAGAAGCAAGGATGATATTTTCAGCCATCTCTAACTCTTGATAGCGTAAGAAAAGTAGATGGACAGAACTGGTTTTTTCCATAATGAAGATAAGAAAGACTCTCTTAGAAAGGCCACACAGTCTATATGAAGGGGCTTTATAATTTATTATATGTAAATATGGGACAGTAGAAGCTACAAAATTGGAGCTCGTTGCTTTTCAGAAAAGGTGGCGTGCTCAAATATGTGCAGGGTTCCTGACTTCTGCACACAAAAATGTGTCTGTCTGGATAAAAATGTGGGTTTAATTGTATAGATTTTACTGTCCAAAAAGAGGCAAGAAATCTAGGTCAAATAGATGAGATGTTGGCTGAATAAGATTAATAGTGTTTTACATATGTCATTTTTTCTGAAAATTGCTTTGCTTTTTCAGTAGATAACTGCAGCTCTCTTTGCATCATGATACATTATACTTTAAAATTGGATTTTTTTTTCCATTGCAGGAAGAGCTAATTCACTGTTACAGGTTTAAGAATAGAGTTTATACACAAGCAGCTTTTGCATTGCACTGAACTCAGTGTTTATTTGAATGAACCTGAGACTACATTGTTTTAACATACTGGTGGTTTGGGTTGCAATTTTTCAACTTTTTTTAGTAGGAAGTAAAGATAACATTGCAACAGATAATTATATTATTACAACAGAGATCCTGTACTGTAGGGTTTATGAGGAAGGAATGTGGCTTGATCTTTATCTGTTAGAAATAATTTAAAATTCTAAATCCCTACAGACTCAGATCAGCAACGGGATGTACTGATACAGGGTTTTTTTTTCCATCTCTATTTTTAGTAACTGCATACTCCACATTGTTACTTCCTGTGAACAGCTTATTTCTTTTATCTAGTTTATTAATGCATATAAAAATATGCCATCTTCATATCCATTCTTTCCATCATCTCAGCATTTTCAAGGTGACTTTAAATGGCTACAGCTTTACTGCAGGCTTAGATGATATGAAAAAATGAAAGGTATGGTTTTGCTGTATGTGTTTGATGCTTTGATATCCCCAAGGTGGTGGCTGAAGGGTATTTAGTGGTAGTGGATTGTGTTAGATGTATCATGCTGACCCATGCCTCAGTGCTCCTATCTAGTTACTCTGAAATGCAAAGTTTACTTTTCTTTTAAACAACAGGGAATTGTTGTAGCTCTAAGTGGGATACTGGTGCTTCTAGTAGCTGTGGAAAACTTCACAGTTGTCTGGGTTTTGGGGTCTTGCTTAGGAGTCGAAGACTCTGAACTTGCTTCTTTTGGGGTCTGAAGGGCATTTCCTGTTTCCCCTCCCCTTTCAGCACCTTCATTATGTCCACACTTTTTATGTGGCATATTAAGAATGTTTGTTTTTTACTTATAGAATTTTGTGTTAAAAGTCTTACGTTTATTACAAAACATTTCAAAGTTTTGTTGGTTGGTTTGGTGTTTGATGGCAGCATGCAGCAGATGTTTTGTAGGCTTCTCTGAATGAAACATTTCCATAAAGTCCTTCCAATGCCTGTGTTTCTGTATTTGTCTCTCTCTTTGTGGGGAGCTCTGCATCATATCCTTCCTAGCACAGAGTGAGCCTAGAGGATGCCAGTACATCTCTGACCCCAAAAATTTGGGAGCAGAAGGTTAGCTTGTAACTGTCAGACCGTGTTAGGGTCCATGTATCACATAAAAAATTGAACAGTTTTGTTGTATGGTCGCTTAACAGATCCAAACCCTTATTCATCACCCTTGTTAATATTTATAACTTTTCCACAGAAAAGTCCTTGAATTTAATGCTTGCAAATCTTGTGTTAAACAGTGTGCTAAAGCTTCATAATGCACCAGCCCTAATCTAGCGGGTTTTTTTCTGACAGTAAAAGATACTGTGTATACACAAACAAGTCTCCACTTACATTTGCTTTCTAAACTGTGCCTGTTTTTCTTTTAGGCTTCCAGCGGCAATTATTATTTTATTCCGTACATCGTCACACCTTGTGCTGACTACTTTTGCTGTGAAAGCGATGCCCAGCGAAGAGCTTCTGAGTATATGCAACCCAGCTGGGACAATATCCTGGGGCCATTTTGTGTCCCACTGGTAGACAAGTTTATCAGCCTTCTCAAGGATATTCATGTTACATCATGGTAATTTTAAAACACATACACCTCCAGAACCTTTGATAGTCTCTTTATAATGTTAGAAAAAAGATGCAGAATTTCTAGTAGCATTGATTATTTTTTTATTATTTATTTTTCACTGCAGTTAATATAGTGTTAAAGGAAGCTGCTAACTTTACTGCTTTCTGTATTGATGTCCTGCAGCTGTTGCAGTTAACTAACCATGTTATGCTAGAAACTGATTTATGGTTACTTTCTGAAATATCAGTAAGCAAAGGCAGTCCATGGGTGAGGTAAAGTTCTTAAGTATAAACTACTGTGCAGCAGGTTGTAATAGGAGATAAGATCACAGCCTCTTCATAGAGCTCAAAGCCAAAGACTGTCCTTTTCTGTCACCAAATAATTGTATACATATGGCAGCAATGGGCAATCACATGCAACTTCCATGGTTTGGTTTTTGTTGGGTTTTTGTGTTGTTTTTTTATATTAGCTTTCTGATATCACCTAATAAACATGATACTGTTCAGCCGCTTCTACAAAGGTCTGTTGGAGTTTTGAGGATTGGGGCTGGAGATGGAAGTCTCTCTTTCTCGATTGCTCACCCTGTACTCTGCAGCTAGTCTGGTTTTGTTTGTACTTCTGGAAAATACTGGGAGAGACTGAGCTTCTAGGGTATTTTTTTCCTAGTGTCTGAAGCATGAGGTGTTGCTGAGGGCCCTCAGATTTCTTTCCCTTTCCCCATTGCCATCCCACCCAAGTGAAAGACTCGCCTAAAAAAAATTCTTTTCTCACCTGGTCCCACTCTTAGGATCCTATAGATGACCTTGCCCACACACACCTTGTCCCCTACACCTCCATCCATGGCAGGTCTGCTATTCTCTGGCACCTTGCTGGGCAGCAACTGGGATATTGCTGGCCTGAAGAAACGCAGGCTGCCTCCTGCTTCTCCAAAACAGTGCTAAAGGGGAATCTACATGCAGGCAACACAGGCCCACCTTGAGGAAAGGGACAATAGAAGGGGCAGAAACTCAGTAAAGTTGGTCAGCATACAGGAGGGCTGTGCTCACCAGTGCAGACTCATGCAACTAGTAGCACAGTTGGTGCTGGTAGCAGCAAACTTAGCATTTGTGTCATTGTGAAATGGTGCTCTGGGCATCAGCTGTCCAAAGCTACCTGTATACTTCGACATTTATGACCAGAGTTGTGCGTGGTTTTGGTTTGATAATTGTGTTCTGAAGTCCTACAGTAAAGCCTCCTCTCTCTGTCCCATTTTCAGGCTGAAGTGCCAGAAAGAGGTTTTGGTGTGGCTGCAGAATTAGACACTGTTGTGGTAGATCCCTGTGAAGAGAAAGATGTAGCTAGATGGTCCCTCATTCCTGCCAAAATCTTGAATAAGTTTGAAAAGATTAAGTATTGCATCATTCAGAGACTTCCATTCCGAAGTCATTTGGATACTTTTGAAAAACATTACCCAGTATCACCCTTTGGTTTGGTTAGCACAAGAAGGACTAATTATCATTAGCCTGGTAGAAGGCAATGCTGGATAGAAACCTGAGATTGGAAAACCATGATGACTTAGGCCAAACCTCCACTGACAGTAAAACAACTATTAAAAGCTTTCCAACAGAGCTTACTGTGACCTTGCTGCTTTGCCTTATAAACATATCTTACATGTTATATGTAAGATATGTATTAGACAGAGAACTTAGTTTTCTTTGCTATGTGTAGGGCTTATGCTAAGTTGCATACTTTGCAATACTCATTTGTAAAGAAAAAAGGTATTGTATGTGCTTTATCTGTCAGGTGTCATCTGCTGACTTCCAAACTATAGAGTCCATAAGATGCTCCAGATAGTTACCTCTAAGTAGCCTGTCCAGGTCGTTTGTAACTGTCGTATTGGTAATGTATATATGATTTTGTATTCTACAAAAGCTCTGGTGTTGCATTGTACACTGTTAGTGTAAATAAGATGGGCTTACTGGGGGCTTTTACATCGATCCTGCCCACATTATGCATTATGTTCGTCAAACAGATTGCGACCAAGTCGGCTTTTGGTGGCTTGTTTTTGTTTTAGTTTCTTTGTTTGAAAGCCTCTTTTCTCCTTTCATGATAAAATCATCTACCTCCTTTTTACATCACACTGGTCGTTGCTCTCTGTGTCACTTTATTATCCAAATTGCTGCCTTCTTTAGGATACAAAATACCACATCTGTCATGGTCAGTAACGGGCAAAGAAAGCACATGTACATTATCTCACAATCCTGATTATAAGCGTATTGCCACATAGCCCCGCAGTCTGATGTGGAGCAAGGTGGAATGTTTATAAAGAGTTAATGAAAAATGTGGAAACATTTGGTGTGCACCTCACTGAGGAAATGGTACTTTTTATTAGAAATTATGCTTTTTGTTAGAAATATAACCGTGTTTCATAAGAAATATCTAACAGTCTTCTTCCCATATGTCTATCTTCTATTTCTTTAGTGCCTACTACAAAGAAACACTGCTGAGCGATATTAGAAAAGCTAGAGAGAAGTATCAAGGAGATGAACTGGCTAAGGAACTGGCCAGGATTAAGCTTCGTATGGATAATACTGAAGTGCTGACTTCTGACATTGTCATAAACCTGCTTCTTTCTTACAGAGATATTCAGGTATGTTCCTAAAGACTAAGGAAGATTATTTTACCATGGGATTTTGGCTCTTGTTTGTTCTTCTATATTTCATTGTTTGTTAATTCAAACAGTGATTCAAACAGTGACACTAAATTGTTACATTAACAGTTTGACTTGCCTGTCAACTCAAGGGGCTTTATTTATTTTACCTGTGAATAAGAGACACAGATTAGGTGACTTCCTGAGGTCTCCTCCTTTGTTTTTAGTCATTTTTAACCTCCTTCAAAAAAAAAAAAAAAAAAAAAAAGAAAAAGTTCCCTACTGAAACAAGATGTTTGCTTTTCCCTTCCCTCCCTTTCCTATCTCACCCCCAAAGTCAGATATATTTAGAAATTAATAAAATGCATTTGTTGTGACCATTGTATTGGCCAGAGGTGCCCAAGTTGAGAACTGTCATTCAAAGAAACATTAATTTGGTTTTAAAATATAACTGTACCTGTTTGTCTTGATTTTATTTTTAAAATAAGTTCTGCTTTTGCTAAATCTGAGCCTGCATACTATATTTTCAAACTGACAGTATGTTTGACATCCCTTTTAAAATATACTTCCAACCGTTATATGGATTTTTTTTTTTTTCCATCAGGAGCTAAGTTGGTTATTTCCTAAGTATAAATGGATCATGAGAGCAGTGGGTGACCACATCATCCTGCATTACCCGGCTTTCCATTCTGAGATGCATATTTTCCTGCAGCACTTTATCCAACTTAATTTTGATCGCCTGTGGTGATCAGTTGCATTCTTTTGAAAGGTCTTTTCCCTTGAGAAATGTAATCATCTCAAAACATGTTTTGAAAAAACAAATTAAGTAATGTGAGGGCATTTGTGATGTCAGTAAACTGGCCTCTTCAGCAATGTATATGCGGGTTACCCCTGAGAAACCAAAATGAATGCACAACCGGCTGACGTACTGCAGAATGAACTGTGCTCGAGTCTGTGATGACCTGATGAAGTGTCATTCATCAGAAATCCTTAACAAGGCCTGAAAAAGCCAGACTCATCACCTTTTCCTGGTGCTGGGAGTGTAATCAATCAAACTAGCCAGAGGGATTCAGTAATTTGGGTAGTGGCATTGAGGTGAGGAAGAAGCAAGTATTGACGTGGGTAGACAAAATCCCTGGTTAATTCCTTACACAGAGTTTGTGGCTGTTTCACTGACTCTTCTAGGAACAGTCACCTGAGATACTGTCTAGCAGTCATGACTCATTTTAGTTTAGTGATGCTTTCCTCTGCTTTCAGTTTCTTTTATTTTCTTTCTTTTTTTTTTTTTTTAAATTCATACCAGGACTATGATGCTATGGTGAAGCTGGTAGAAACACTAGAAATGCTTCCTACCTGTGATCTGGCTGACCAACACAACATTAAATTTCATTATGCTTTTGCATTAAATCAGTAAGGATGATTGAGGTTGTTTCGTTTTATTGCTGTTCCTTATGGGCTTGCATATAAATTTATAGTGCAGATAATATCAAGTAAGAATTTCCCTTTCTGCACACACTGATATTTACCACAATCATCTTTCCTTAATCCAGTACTTCCTGTGCACCAGGGCAGCTTGTAACTTTTGAAATAATTGTTTTCCAACAACCTCCATTTTGTGAACAACCTGGCCTGAGGAGAGTGTATCTGTTCCAAAGGCCACCTGAGTAATTGCAAAAGACTCCAGTGATACCAGTGGGTTCTGGGTCAGACTGAGATTCTTTATTCTGAGTCACTGATTATTCTGAACATCTTGAAAAGTTTAGCATAACAGAGTTATGGGTGAGTTATTAAAGTAATAGGTAACAAGCGCTGCTTGATCCATGAATACACATTCATGATACAGCTTTCTTGAAAGGCTGAAAGGCAATCTGGACCTACAGGCACATTGCTAGATTAGGAAGCACAGAAGTATTATCGAACTCTTCTAGTTAGCTACAGATTTCTGTAGTGCCTATCTATAATAGTTACTTCATCTCTAAGGAATTTATGTTAAGATTGTATTGTAGAAAATAGATCTTATACAAATGAAATCACATGTAATTGTAAAAGTAACTGGTTAGATGCAATCCACATGCTATTAAAAATTGTGACCTGCAGTCTAACTAAAAATTAGCTTGGGCAGCATCAGGATGGCATCTGTCCTAGGGATTAAGAACTTCGTAATAGATCTAGAAAAGCAGTTCCTGTGGCATTTTATGGAAAGTGGTAAGAAGTCTGGTGCCATTTGACAGTTTCATCAGACTTAGGAGTAAATGCAAAATAATTGCCTAGAAAATTATTGGATATCACTGTGTCAAAGAACAGTCTTCTCACAGCATTAGATAGACTGTGTTCTCCTAAAAAAAAAAATGTAGACCATTAAATCTTAGCTGATTAACCATCTACTGTCTGTTAACTTGTTTTGCGGAAATGTATCTTTCAGAAAATTTTGATCTGAATATATGAAGACAGAGACAATCCATTTATATAATTTGCAGTTTGCTCTGGTATTTATCACACCTAATGAAAGATAGTTTTCTCATTAGGCTGCTTAAAAATAAAAGGAAAAAAATGCACCTTTGATATAAAATTTTTAATGTACCACACAAGGCAGTATTTTAAAGTAGAAGCCAGTGTTTTAACATTTCTTTAAGTTATGTAAATTATAAACCGTGTTCTTGGCTGTATAGTTATTATTGTTGTTATTGAATATTATTGTTAAATAGTATGTTTAGAAACATGTTTAGTATGTTTTTCTACCTTTTTTCCCCGCAACTCTTAAAAATTGCAGGTTTGATCTTGTAAAGATTCTGAAATTCAAGTCTCCTTAAAATATCATACTGACGTCTTGAGAAGTGGTTTCAACAAAAAGGATTTGGCCCTATTTTTCAGAAGTTTGTCCAACTTTTTATAATTTCAGGAATTTGACTTAAGATGTTTAAACTTGCCAGTAAGAATAATGCTAGGGTCATGCCTTGTCCTTAGGAAAATATCCTCATATGATAAGTTTTTAAAACTTTTCATTTAGATGTGCATAATAAAATTGGCAAGCTTTGTTACTCTCTTTGTCTTCAAATTCTTTGTATTTTGAGCAGCATGTGAACCTCACGCCATTGAATCTTCTGTTTTGGCAATGCCAATAGCGCCCTGGTAAGACAAGACAAAATGAATTGCTCGTGAACTTGCTTTCCCCATCAGCAGGTTTCATTAAATCGATCACTAGCCTGAACTAGCATTGACTCTCCTTGTTTTCTTGTGGGAACAATTTAAACGTTTTTATGGAAAAGTTTTTTCAGAAATAAATGACCAGTTTTCCATCAGTAAGAATGCAGAATTTAGCTTCTACAGATGTTTTTGCCTTCTTGCAACAAAATGATGGACAAAAGTAAAAAGTTAAGACTTGAGTATTTTCAGAACAAGTCCACTTAGTACAAAATGACCGCTAAGGTGTTGCTTTTAGCATCTTACTTCCATGGGATTTTTCAATCACTTATTTTTTCTGTTTCAAAAACAAATTCTTTTTTCATGAGTTCTATCAGAATCTATTTATAAAAATACAGAACAATGTTTCCACTTAATATTCTATTAATTTCAGCATACAGAACAGTATTAATGTTGCTCAGTACAACTGATTGAGCCTACCAGGAGCAAAATACATAATAAGCAAAACAGAATTAACAGCTGTAAAAATATCAGACCCTGCCGAAGTTAATGTTTGCTTAATTTCATTATGAAAGTGTACCAGAGCTGTGATCATAATCAACAGAGAAAGTCATTCATTTATTTCCTCTTGGACTCTGTAACTGAGTTCTGTTGCCAATTGTTTTCACTTAGCATTTTCAAGTCTGTGTTACTCTAGTGCTGCATAGAGCTGGTGATGTGGCAGGCAAGTGGCAGAGGATTTCTTCTGGCGGCCTCCTGTCTTTGCTGGTACGTCAGTGGACACAAGCCCAATCTGAACTGCAGTTGTGTGCAGTTCTGGGTGCAAGTTAACAAGTCGTGTTAAGGGAAGGGACAGGGATGTTTTACTTCAGACTCAGCACCGTTCCAGCCTAGCTGCATGTCTTCTGGTTCAGAGCCAGCCTGGGTCTGACCTGGCTTGGATCGTGAGCAAAGTAAGCCTGGGCCTGCCTGCAGAGTACTGTGCAGAAAGGTACTAAAGCACTTCCTATTATCATATGTAGGGGAGGCAGACATTTTCATGCTTATTTCTGGTACCCCGATTCACATAGGTTTTTAAGGACAGCCCCTCTCCTAGATTGCTGTCTTCCTCTCTGGTTTCCATTTCAGAGCAGACCGTAGAGGCCATCTTAGATTTGTCATCTCTTATGTCTAATAAAAGAGGCTAATAAAGGATGTTTGCAATGACAGGCTTGTACTTGTTTCCAAGCCTGGGCTATCTAAAAAGATCAGCTTCCTGGCTGTTTGTTTAGAAGTCCTAGGGAGCAAAAGGCCATTCCTCTATCAGCGTCTTAAGCTAATTAATTTTGACTCCACACACAAGCAGAGCAGAGTGCTTTCTTTTATACAGACGTTGGTTGGTTGAAGACGTTGTTCCTTGTTGTCTTCCAGCTGAGATTTAGATCTGATTGTATCTTAATTTAGGCATGGAAAGGAACACATCTTTAGGTATAAGTTCAGCCCAAATGTGCCACATGAATGTTTTCAATATTTGTATTCACAGCTTTGGTATGAAGTAAAATGCTGTGTAATTGAGGGCTGGGTGTTTCAGATGTAGATGGCTGTTTGCTTCAGTCCATGGGTATACCTTGCCTGGGAGGCAAGCACTGTGTAAGGAGAAGATGAGGTATGAGAGCTACCATGAAAGGATGTTGTCACAGTTCCAGATTCTTGAAAGCTAAGAAATTTCTGAATTAAGGTTGCCATTTTATTTCCTCTGTTTTAAATGTGTGTCTAATTGAAGGCTGTCTGATTTTTTTCCTTGAGAGCTTTGCCTAGTGTGGTGCACTTGAATAGCTGGAGGTCAGCTGGTCAGTATCTCAATATTCTGTGTCGATCTTCTTGTTAAAGATGTAACAGTGCTGTATGATAAATACACATTTATTATATGGCACAGCCCTCCACCCCACACCTGAAGTTCCTTTAGTTCCTTATGGGTCCTTTCATGTTCATTGTTGCAATACCTGAGTAGTTTATCACCATGTCATGGAGAAATAGAACAATGGTGTTTACTTATATTTACAGGTATGGAACCAGATACATGAAGTTCACTAATTAAAGGTTTTCAAATTGAGGTGTCTACAGGGTGATTTGTCTTTTGAAGTATAAAACATAATGAAATGTATTTAAATATCCCATTGTCTTCAACAATAAATGTTAATGCACCTTTATTAATTAGCCTTCAAGCTCTCAAGCTAGCGTTCCTATAAAATGAGGAGTGCACATTTCTGTGGCAAGTCTTTGGGTGAAGGGACCTGCATAAAGCTAGAAGACAGTCATGCAGGATGGGCTCCAATTGCCTTAGGTGTGTGGTTGTCCTTTCTCTTGCAGCTCCCAGCCTCTGGTCTAACTGCATCCCAACTCCTGAGGCAGGGGCCTCAACACCAGTAGTGAATGCAAGTCCATGGCCGAACCTCACAGTAAAACCAGCTGTTGTATGAGATGAGCAGTATGCATGTTTCCTTTAAACAAACCAACCAACCAAACACAACAAAAAACCACGCAACACCCCTGCCTTGATCACACAGTTCAATTTTACACGGGCAAGTACACATACAGGGCCTGAATTTACGTTGTAATGGTGACTGAATTTCTGGGGTTTTTTTCTGAAATTTGAGGTTTTTGCGGTTTTAAGGAGTGTTCCTCTGTGCTGTACCATGGTTTGCCCATCACTATGTCTGTTACTTTTGTCCAGTCTGTTTTCCTGTGTGAGTTACAGCTATAGTTCACGAGCTTGACTTAAGTTCATACTGCTGGCCTTAGGACCTGGCTTTTGCCGGACGAGCTCTTTCATGTACTACTCTTATAGCTGAGGTCTGCCAAGTGCTTTTATTGATTAATTTCTAGATTCACACACAGAGGAGCTGGTCAATGATCCTTTTTTTTGTGGAAGCTTTCATCCTGGGATTTGATGTCTTACAGAAGCTGAACACGCGAACACATCCAGTTACCCGTCCAATAAATAATTTGCCTGAATATCTAGTGCGAAGGCTGTGGCTGTCTTTATTAATTAAAAGAAGGTAGAAATGCTACCTGCATGTATGACATGGTGTTAAAACCGTTTCTCTAGTATTACGGCTTTTTTCTTCCTTTTTTTTTTTTTTTAATTAAAAAAGCCCAAGATTCTTCTCAAGGGAGATGGACATATAAAGTGATTTAATATGCTTCGCTAATGCATTATATATGCATATATTAATACCTTTTGTGTTTGGAACCACAGTATTTCAATGTTTTAAGGTATCATCTGGATT